GCCTGTCCGTGCGTCACTCGTCTATGTTGCACCAACGTTGGACACTTCTTTTATACCGGAAGAACTAAAGAACGATGAGATACCAGAAGGATTAGAATGTCAACGCGCTCAGTGAAGTTTTGACTCTCGAGCTGGTACTTTGTTTCCTCTATACGGGTTGTTACGATTCGGAGTTGCTGCAGCATAGACGGCTGCATTCTGCACTGACCACCTCTAGGGTTTAGAAGGCCCCCCCCCCCCCCCCCCCCGGCCCCCTCCTTCCCCGTTCCATCTCGAAAGAGTTCCCCAGCGCGTGCTTGTATAGATCGTACTAACTAGAACAGAAGTTTATCTTATCTACAATTTTTTTTAAGTTAAAAAAGTAAGGTGAAACGTAGTCAATTACTTTTCTGGTAATTTTTAATTACTTTTGTGATGCAGTGATTGATTACTCTAACTAGTTACATTTTTAAATAAAGTAAATGTAATTGTAATCGGTTACTTTTTTCAGTAACGTGTAGAAAACTTTTCTGTAGACGATTCCAAGGAGGCAACGCTTTTACGTTAGATTTAAATTTTTCCAGAATCGCCACTAACGTTTTTGTCTTCCCAAATATTTGTTGTCGCCATGTTGACAACCCTTTCGTATGTAATGATCACATATGTCAGATTGCTATCTCAAGAAGTCTGGCATTGACAAACATTCTAGTCGAGGAATCACGAACATTTTCAATGGTGGATAAAAGCAAAACACGAGTGGCCATCATTTTTTTTTAACTGCCGCGCAAATTACATCTAGGTTGAATGCTATTCTTGGGAACTCATCGACTTCGTTTTCCACTGCGAGGTTTCTAGTTTCATAATTCAAGCGTGGTCCTACGGACAGAAGTGACGAACCACGTTCAAGCGACCACGCAAGAAATTGTGGAAAAAATGCATGGCTTGGTTTTGGAAGACCGCTGGATACCGGGAAACTGTGGAAGCAGTGGGCATCTATTCTTAACGTTTTCCTCATATTTTACAGAATGAATTTGGATTAAAGAAACTTTCTGCAAAATGGGTGCAGCACTTGCTCAATCCGGCGCCAAAACGCATACGAGCCCGGACGTCAGCCAACAGTTTGCAAATGTTTCAGGCAGATCCAACGGATTTCAAGTGACGATTTGTAACTATGCACGAGTACTGTGTCCACCATTACACGACAGCAACAAAAAGTCAATCTAAACAATGAGCTGGGCTTTGTGAATTGGCTCTGAAAAAGGCAAAGACCATTCAGTCGGCTGGCAAAGTGATGGCATCAGTTTTTTGGTATAGAAAAGGAATGTTTCTCATTGATTATATCGAAATCAAAGAAATATTAGCGCCCAATATTACATAACACTTCTGGACAAGCTGAAGCAAGTAATTCAAGAAAAACGTCCGGGAATGGTCAAGAAACAGGTGCTGTTTTACCACGACAATGCACCCGCCCATTCAAGTGCAGTCGCTCAGCAAAAACTGGCAGAATGGAAGTTTAAAATTATTCAGCATCCACCCTATTCCCACGAAGTTTGGCTACATAGGTCTTACATCTATATTCCCGAACAAAACCTTCCTGGCTGGAAATAAATTTATGTCGAATGGAGAGGTGATGGAGGTTGTGATCAGTTATTTTGGGGATCTCGAAGAAAGTCACTTTCAGGAGGGAAACTAAAAGCTGGAGAAACGCTGGACGAAGTGTGCCGACATTTGGGGGAAAGTTATGTAAAAAAAAGAGTAAATTGAATTAGATTTATATTATTTTTATTTTCATTCCAGAACCATTTCAATCTACCCTCCAACAACTCACTTTAAAAATTGCCATTGGAGCCTGCTTTGAAAAAGTGGCTCCGTTCCGTACTCGAGCACCGAACTAGACGCGATCGCAACGCCGCCATTTCTCATGAAGCGGCCACTTCGGAAACTGCACGGCTGCACGTACCGCTCCAATCGAGTCGCGCAAGTGTATTTGGCGCCATTTCGCAGTGCCATCTCGCAGCAGCTATAAAAAACAACTTTCATGTTTTGAATCGCCGTTAAAGGGTGGCGTTTTAATAGTATCAAGTTCAGTCTCGGTGAACGCGAGCGGTCCGGGTTTCAAGAGTGAATTTTACAACTGCGTGTTCTAGTAACGTTGCAAGCACGTCATGTGGCCGCCGCCACGTCTCTACACGCGCGGGCAAACACATGCACTTGCAAGCCTGTCAAGGCCACGTTCACGCGCAAGCTTCGCGTGCTGGTGCCCAGGGCACCAATCGAACGTTAAGCTTGCAATTGTGTTTTGGAAAGAGTCAAGGCCTGTTCACACATGCGGCGGAGCACTACAATCATAGCGCGGACCTCCCGCCAAGCGCGTGCTGACGGGAGCGTTCACCAGCCTTGTATCGCACCGTCAAAACTGTTGCTCATAGCAGACGATAATTAGCTGACGACAAGTGATCAGCGCTACATCAGCGCTTCGCTATATGTGAGAACCGGCTTTTAAAGGGACCATGAAACGATTTTAAAATGGAATTTCATCCACCGCCCGTCGTAAGAGGTTTGAAAAGGAAATCAAAACACAAAAATTGGGAGCCAAAAAACTTTTTTCGACACAGAAGTTTTAAAAGAAAAGCGGACTCATTTATATCCTTTTTCCTTCGAAAGCCCTCTGGCTTTTCACTGCGATGCATCCGCGATGCCAAAGCACGTCAGCCGAATCCACGTCGCCTATTGGATAAGAGCCTACCTTACCAGCACCGCGATCATAAACAATAAATAGCCGGCGAATGTTCATTAAAAGTTTGGTTAAAGAATATTCTTATCTACATTTTGTAGCACAGTTAGCGATGTGACGGAAATTGCCGAATTTTATAATGTCCAGAGCCATGCGCCATCTATCGTGTGGTAAACGAAGCAAGAGAAAGATCAGACTGCGATTACGCGGTCGCGGTTCCTGCTATCTTAAGAAAAACATGGCGTCGGTGGTGATCGTCGACATGGTTGGCGTGATGGAAGCTCAAGCTATCCTTGACTGAATTCCCGTCGTGTGTCGCGATGATAACCCAGCACGTCTTAGGAGGGAAGATCGATACTCGTGCGGCAATGTTGTGGCGGCACCCGCAAGACAGCAGAAAAGCTCGTGCAGTCGTGTTTGTTTACTTAGATTACAGTGGTGCTTTCTTGGCATTTATGTCCGCGAACATCGCCCGGATTTCTTATTTTGCGCGTTCCGTGCGTGTGCTCATGTTCAACGTATTACTGGTGCGTACTGGATTTAATGGCGTGTTTAAAGGATGCGAATTTTGACGCGATTTCATTACCCGAGAAAAGTCATTAGTGTTAGCATTCCTGAACTCCCGCAACGTCTATGTGATCACGAAATCAATTTCTGCGTTGCTATATCGCTGCTAAGATAACATCGTCTTTTTCAATCGTCGAGAAGGCCTGTGGCGAGATTTGTACTATCGGTAAAGTATTGATGTTAAAGTCGTGATCGTTCAAGAGTGTATACTGCATCTTTTTAATTTCTTTTCCATCTACTCTGTCCTGCGAGTCTACCCCTATGTCCATTTTCTGCTACGTCAATCAGTGGCAGCGCGCCCCCTTCTTTTTAGAGGCACCACGTAAACAGCTTACGGCAGCGTAGAAGCGTCCGCCGTGCTGACGACCTGCTGCGCTTGTTGCAGTGGCTGCAAGAGTGTGTAGGCGCGGCGCAGAGCTGTTGTTCCAGTTGCTCCGGTCACGACGGACACAGTCGTAGCCAACGCGCTCGTTGCAAATGCCCGAATTACAGTTTGTGCAGTCTGAAGCTTAAAAATAAATGGCTGCAAATTTACCTCTTGCCACTTGAGGAATCACGTCAAAACACTTGGTGCAGGATCATCGGTTTAGAGACCCCAGGCCTAAGGTCATCCGTGTATGCTCGGAACATTCCGTAGATTGAATTACCGCTTTTTGTCGTTCGATTCCGATGAGGAACTGGAGTCTCCGTCGGAAGACTCGACGCACCTTCCAAAAGGCGTACCGGCGTGTGGGACCATACCCATGCTGTCATTGTGGCGCAACGTATCTTATTGAATTTCGCTTAGCTGCGATGTGTCCCTGGCTATCGCTGTGATCAGAGGCGCCGATTCAGAAAATATGTCGGTGGCATCGACGTCATCAGCGCTGTGTCATATTTTTTGAAGAGAGAGGTGATGTGAAGAAGGGTTCCCTTTCCTTCCTCCTTTTTTCCACTCTATATAAAGGGTTCTGACCTTAATAATGGTTTAGCTGTGTTTGAGACGTTCTACTTTTCTTCCTTGTCGTCGTCTGCCAATACCTCAGTCTCGGGGTTTTCACGAAAATGCTGTAAAACCCTGCGGTAAAACCGGCACACCTTCAGCTCTCCGCTAATGCCCCCATTCTCGTACGTTCCGGTACCAAAGTACGTCACGACCATCAAAATTATGCCGCGGCATTTTTTGCGGTGAGTTGGAGAGAAAAAAAAGCTCGATATTTCATTATTTTTCGTGTAGAAGTTAATAAACCGAAACGAAAACGGATGCATGTTCGGCGTTTAGTGAACATTGAAGGTTTAATGTAAAAGTTATTTGGGAAAAAGTACAAAGGTCATTTCATGGCCCCTTTAAGGCTTGTTCACACACGCTGACTTTTCGCTAAGCGGGTGCTGACTGGAGCGTTCACCAGATTTGTATCGCACCGTCAAAACTATTGCTCATGGCAGACGATAAGTAGCTGACGACACTTGAACAGCGCTGTATCAGCACTTCACTGCATGTGGGAACCGGCCTTTAGAATCCAGTAAATATTTTTTTTTCCTTTTATGCAGCTATTTTTCATTTTACAGTAGAAGAAAACGACAGTCATACGTCATCACTGTGTCTTTGCATATAACGTCTCTTTAACCCGATGCCGCTTTTGCACATTTTATTTTTCTCGCGAAAGGTACGAACTTGCTTACTACTCGCTCACCTACAGACGTTACAAAGTAGAGTCGTCTACGGAGAGATCAGTCTTACCATTTTTGAAGGTCATGTTCCAAAGTCTTCGCGCTAGACCCCTCCCATCGGTGGGGTCGGCGCCATCAGCGAGTGTTTCATTCAGAGACCAGGCGTACATAAGAACGCTGTCGTAGAAAGCAGCTACCACGGGATTTACCTGAAGGAGACAGGATTGATTCACGGAGTTACCTTGATTGCTGCATTGCTGTTTAGAATTCCTACACCGAGTCCAATAATTAAAAAATAACGAGCAGATCTCAAGGTGAAATCTAAATCTCCTTAAAATAGAAGCACGCATCACGCAAAGTCAATCAATCAATCAATGAATCAATAAAATCATTTCGATAGGTTCCACTAATGGAGAAATTAGGATGTAAAGCATCCACTATGTAACTGAAGGTGCCCTGAGGAGGTTTCTGAGATCGCCTATATATGGCGATAACTCACTCTGCTGGCTCAAAGCATCCTAGAAGTCTCTAAATAATGAGAATACGCGGTCGCTTTTCCTATTAAAAATATTCAACCTTTTCACTCTGGTGAAGAAGGAAGACCAGCGGAGCTGCACGATGGAAAGTAATGGCAGGCCGCAAGTCGGCAAGCCAGAGTGGAAAGGCTGCCGCCATATATGAGCGACGGCGGCAACCAAATACTTGGCTTGCCGCCGTCGCTTATAGATGGCGGTCGCTGTCCAGGGTTTCGTGTCATCATTTGTTTGCTGACGGACATGACACTGTGGAAACTATCCCTTAACAGCTCCGCTGTAAAAAGCAATCAAGGATCGCAACATGCCAAATTTGGTCTCCGGCGATGGGAGGAGCATATTCCGAGACCAGGACCACTGTCAGTCCATAATAGCCGATTCACACGACGGACCAAATCGCGATTTTCGTCCGCGGACCGTGTACCACGTGACCGGCACGTCACCGATTCCTGCGATCCGCGCCTCCTCCGCGGAGGCGCGGACTGATAAAGTCGAGCGCCTTTTTCACTCGCGGACGTTTGGCGGCAGACTGACTTGGAAAGCATTTAGTCTGGCAACGGTACATGGTTTTCTTGGTATTTTGCTTCTGGTCGTTCAAAACAAAAATGGCGCGTCGTTGCGTTTTGTGCGTTTGTTGGTTCATTTTGTCGTACGATTCTTGGTTCCACGCGTGAGAGAAACGCCAGAAACTTTGTCCGGCTGACGCGACGCAGGTTCCGGTGCTCCTCCGGGTCCGTGTCAAGAAGCTCCCGTCAAAACTCGTCTAGCACGCCGCGATAATTCCTGCACGTCCAATCAGGATTTCACCGAGCAAGCCCTCTCTTGTGGATGTGGTGTTCTTCAGTGTTGTGCACGAGCGCGGAGCGCGTGAAGGCATCTCCAAACGCCCCTCCGTGAGCCCAGAAGTTCGTCGCGTCTACGCCGAAGCTTTCTCGGGCAGGATCATGCCTGTGTCACTGTCATGCTTTGGGTTAGTAAAGTTAGTGGCGCTTCGCGCGAAGCCTGTCCCGGTGTTTTGTTCTCGATCTGTACGTAGCAGCGGCGTACGATTCTTTATCGCGGTAGCAACCGTCGATTTCTCTCTTGGACAACGGTGCTACTGTGCGATGTGGGAGTTTCGCGGCACTGTGGGGTGCGAACAGGTTCGGTCCGTCCTCACTGGCGTCTGCTCGTCGTCTCCCTCGTGTGGATGCGCTTGGGAGACGGACGAACCGCGGATGTGTCGTCACGTGAGCAATCCGTCCGCGGATCAGTCCGTCGTGTGAATCGGCTATAATGGGGTATCCACATGAAGGAGAAATCCGCTACTTTCCTCCGCGGAGCGCGCATCACGTGAGACATACGTCATCCCTTTTTGACGCCTCGCGGCGCCGTTCTCCTTCGTGGCGGAGGCGCGGAGGCTTCGTGCTGTCAGCACGAAAGCTCCCCAGGTGCACGCGGCGGAGCCGGGGACGGAGTTTCCCGGGTTGTTGACGTCACGACATCCGTCCGCAGAGTTCTCCTTCGTGTGGATACCCCTTAACAAGCGAAGGATCCTCGCGCCACCGACCAGTGGGACCGCGGAGTGATATCTCGAATGCGCGCGGCTCGTTGCCCCGGACTTCGATTCAACCCAGCGAGCGCGCGCTCGAGCGCTAACGAACAAACGCATCATACACGTAAAAAGAAAAAAAAAAAAAAAAAAAACCCTTTTAGTGTGTTGTTTTTGAGACTATTGTCGCAGTATTATGCTCCCTCTCCGCAAAAAAAATGGGCATTATTATGGTCTTACTTGCCTCTATCATCTAACGTATACACACATTTTGTCATTACAGCGTTTGCAATCTCAACGAAATGTCGCGTTTTCACTATCACATGCCGTCCTGGCTGCCGGCCCAATGTTCCCGCCTTCGCCGTATATAATTTCGATTTTTGATTGCTTTTACAGGGCTGCTCTTAGGCGTCCTTTTCGTCGTTTCAACGTAACCGCCCCGCTAAATTTAGCGCAAAATTGAATTGGTGTTGAAGTCAAGTGGCGTCAGTTTTCCCGCTAAATATGGCGGAGAAACTGAATTTGTTTATGGGGGACGTGACATAATGCCATCTGACGTCATTTTCCCCACTAAATTTAGCGGGGAAACTGAATTGGTGTTGAGTTCACGTGACGTCATTTTCCCCGCTAAATTTAGCAGTAAAACTTAACACGCTAAATTGAGCGGGGAAAGCGACGTCACGTGACCTCAACAGCAATTCAGTTTCCCCACTCAACTTAGCGGGGAAAATGACGTCACATGACTTCGTGCCACGTCACCCATGAACAAGTTCAGCGGGAGGAGGAGGGAAGGAGGACGGGAGAGGGTACGAAAAGGAGGAGGGCCTCCTTTCCGTACCCTTCCCTCTTCCTCCCCAAGAGCTGCGCTCCATTTGCGCATTACAGGGATTTGTAAACGTCTTCCATTTTTTAGAGCGCAGCTCTTAGGCGCTCGTTCCCGTGTTTCGCGGCGTCGCCGCCGGCGTGACCGCGCGCGTTGCATTATGGGACGTAACACGGCTATACACCAATTCAATTCCCTGCTAAATTTAGCAAAGAAACTGAATTGATGAATAGGTCCGTGACCTCCCATAATGAAACACTGCGCATTCAGTTTCCCCGCTTGATTTAGCGGTGAAACGTATGTCACATTACTTAAAAGACCCCTAAAAAGTAAAAAAAAAATGTTTTCTTTTTTTTTAAAGTCTGAAGAGGGACACGCGTGTCAAGAAATTAATTTTAAGCGAAAACAATTTTTTTAGAGCAATAATGGCGAGAAGATCGAACAATCACGCCTCTAACAATACGCTTCAGCTGTAGGGACAACAAACCGTATTTTCTTGTTTGTTTTTGGTCCGAGGAATTGAAGATGACGACTCGAAGGTCGCTGCTCGGGCGACCAAAGCACTGCCAGCGCGAAGCGCTTGTGCTCAGACCGTGCTAGGCGCGGTTCGATTGCTTTGTCATACTGTGTTAGTAAACACCGGGCAATGGGTACAACAAGCTCTATAAAGCGCCCCTTATGGCTCGATCTCCTGCCCAAATGACGGCGCGAGATTTATTTTAAATTGTGCACCGAAAGTTCATGGCGTCACGGAGTTGTGTATACACTCTTTCCACCTCAATGAGATAGTCATACGCTCCCTTCACCTAAGCGTGATGGCCAAGCCTATCCACCTCTCCTCCACTCGCCTGAAATGCCAATAGAGAGAAAACAAGAGGAAAGGAGGTGACTACCGACTAATGGCGAATTCGGGTGGTCAATCGCCGGCGAGCCCTTGCCGGTGAAACCGGCGACCAAAAACGCGCGTGCGGCGCACCATGTGACCCTCTCCACCCGAATACAAAACGCCGGCAACTGGCGTTTTTATTTGCCTGGGTCCCGCGTGAGCTTTGTTAACGTCTTCTCGATGAGTCTTTGGTACGATGAGCACGCTGTATGCGCAAACAATATAAATTACGGCTCTTTGAGATGCGGCTTCAGAAAAGTTTTCAGAATGTTAACATTACCACAGTCTGTACAGCTGACAGGATCTTAAATTATAAAATTAATGAAAGGGCAGATAAATAAATCAGTGTGGTGCTTTCCGCGCGCGCGTCAATTTTCAATAATTTTTGTTTGGATTTCCGAGGAACTGTTGCCATTTTACAAGGATCCCAAGGAGGCTTGCCAGCGTCGCTTTCCATATTCTGTTTATTATAATTAGCTTTTTTTGGAATCCTCCGTATTCTCATTACGCCCACCCTCCTTAAAATCGTAATGCGTATTCAAGTATCGGACTGCATCGTTATACATACATTTTTTCAGCAGTGTAATAAAGTGTTATTACACAGTTGTAAAACAAAGTAATATATGCTACCATGATGGAGCCCGTGTCTGAGAGCAGACTGACCTTGCGCAGGCTGGACAAACTCTTGCAAAATGTTGGCTTTCATTAAAACGTAAGTTATCTTTATCTTCATTGTTTTCGCTATCTTGTCTCAGAGCACAAATGGCTGTCTGTCTTAATGGCTTCGTTTGCCACTCGAGCACGCTATTTACCGCTTTCAGCGGGAATTGTTTTGTTTAGTACCCTTAGCCGATTCGGATGTGACGATACCGGATACAGTCTGTCCGACACACTGCCCGATCTTTTGAAGCTCGGGCAAAAATTGTGCCGGTAAATTGCCAACACACGCTTGAGAAGCGCCACCCGAACAGCTTGCACCCGCCCGCCTTTGACCATGCGAACGCCCTTGCCGGGAGATGACCTCCCGAATGTGCAATGAATCGCGCCTTGCGCGGTCAAGATTTAAGAAGTTTGTTTTCGCGTAAATTTTAATTTCGAGACACGCGTGTCCCAACAAAACTGTTTAAAAAAGAAAAAAAAATTTTTTCAGTGTTCCTTTAACGTAAATTCAGTCTCCCCGCTAAATTTAGCGGGGAATTGAATTGGTGTTGAGGTCACGTGACGTCAATCTGCCCGTTAAATCTAGTGGAGAAACTGAATTACGCTTAGGTGTACGCTAACATCTATGCCGCTCACTAACACGAATGGTTAATAGAAGTTTGCTCAAAACGCAACTGTTTGTGGAAAATTGAACTTTCGACCAAGGGACGAGTAAAGATTTCCTGAAGTTGTATGAAGATTTTCATGGGGGTTTAAATGCTAACAAATAGCAAATAAGATATTTTGTTTTGGGACGTCACGATACAGCACCTACCAGGCAGTGTTTTTTTTTTTTTTTCAAATATGATTTATACAAAAATGACTACATGTGCAAAAAATATATCAAGAAAATTTGCTCACATCGTAGTCGTATATGGTCATACCGTAGTTGTCTTTAGCAGACTTGATAAGTAAGGCGACAAAATTCCTATAGGCGTCTGTGGTTGGAACTCGAACCCGAATTACCATTAGAGATTGATACATCACTTTAGCGATCTGAAAGAAAACAAAACAACACAATTATGTTCTTGCGTATGGGTGTTCATCGTGTAGCCGCTGCGGTCTGCTGAAGCAGAGCCGCTCAGCACGTTGAAATTAATCATAACGTCAAAATATTATTCACATAACTACAGTCAGTGACAATTGAAGAAACTCGTGGCATGGCTCTTGTATGTTGACATAACTTGCTTCTTGATCTGTCCTTCGGGTTTATTATTGGTTCAAGCTCCAATCTCAATTTGTTGTCGAGGGTTCGATCAAGCAAGCAGCCAATTAATTAATCGCTCAACAAAATAATTATTTAACTAGTTATTGTATTGCGCATGCGCGTTGCGAAGTTTAGTGCGCACCAGTATTAATTAAATGAAAGCAGGTCACAAATTCTGTGTAATAGATCTAATCAAATAATTTCGGTTGTCTACAACCATTTAGCGAAAATTTAGGCGTGTATAAAGAAAGAGTACTAATTGTAAAAATACTCGCGATTTAACACTCGAAGTATTTCTTCCGTAGCGAAGGTATTACCAAAAAGCAAACCAAAGCTATTACGTCTGTAACTGAATAGGCTATGACTCAGAATAGCCTTTAGCTTCGCGTTGACAATACCCCCAGTACCAAGGAAGCATGCGTCACTTACCCTGTTCATTTTGTCGTTAGGCTTGTACCAAGATAACCCGCTTGACTCGCTCTGACTGTCTATGAGGTTTACGTTGAGAAAAACAAACTCTCCATTAGACATGCCGAGTCCGTGGGCAAGGATCAAGATCCGTCGGAGGACTTCGCCAGTGCACAGGATAACGAAGACTGCGACCAAAAAGATACCCGCATCACGGGCCGCTCACACAGGTTGGTAGCTTTAGTCGCGGGAAGGGTGAGAACGGCAGTGTGTCTCTTTCGGATTCCCGACCACGCTCCAAGTTTACGAGACGCGGAAGCGTTTCCTACAATTCAGTGATGTGATTGCTGCTCCAATTGCGCCAAACTGCGCCAAGGGACTAACCCTGATACATCCTGCAACATTTTGTCAAAATATGCGTAATCTGCGCCAAGCCTGCGCCAAAGGACCAATTTCGGTCGCCTTTCAAAACCGAAACTCAACTGACACCCGTAATTGCGCATGATTGAGCTAGGTGGCACAACCGGCCGCCCGACACAAAGTACCCTGCATGAATCGTCCATCCGGTCTTGCATAATTTTTCTCGCCGTCTCTCGTTTCGCGCTTTCGTCGTCTCATGGGTCTCGTCTCGCGTCTTTTTCAAAATTTTGCAACGATAGATGCAAGCGTGCGCGGGAATTCCAACGCTAGCGTGCCGGGTATCAGCCATGACGTCATGCTGTGCAACGAAACCACGTTTTTGCGTGGCGGAAGTTACTTTGTGAGCTGAAACACTCGCTCCTGAAAGCAACGGCCGTGGGAAAACTATATTTCGTCCCTATACCTACCAGTCACCGTGGTCGCATGACGTCGGATGTTGCCGTCCCCAAGTCGCTGCAGATATGGCGCCTTCTACAGGGTGTCACAAAAGAAAATTTACACGGTCTTTTTTGCCGCAAAAATAAACTAGGCATCGCCGAATGCCCATTCTCCGCCCAAAGGAAGAGCTAGAGGTCACAACCAGATGCCAAAGTTTCAGCCCGATCCGATAACTTAATCAAAAGTTATAAGTGATTTTCTGAAAACTTCAATGGGAAAAGGGAGCCCATTTTTGCCCGTTTTCTGTTTCTGGTGCCATAAAGCCCCATATGTTTCAAAACTCCATCGGCCGCCATTTTCCCATTGGAATTTTCAGAAAATCACTTATAACTTTTGATTAAGTTATCGGATCGGGCTGAAACTTTGGCACCTGGTTGTGACCTTTAGTGCTACCTTTGGGCGGAGAATGAGCGTTCGGCGATGCCTAGTTTATTTTTGTGGTAAAAAAGACCGTGTAAATTTTCTTTTGTGACACCCTGTATATTGAAACGTAAGGACCGCCGCAAGGTCATAAACAATCCTGTTCTTTAAATCATACGCTACGACAACAATTCCTCTTTAACACAAAGACTGCTGCGCCGAATAGAGTGACCACCCGTCCCGCGACTCGCAGGACTGTCCCGCATCGGGGGCTCGTGTCCCGCGTCCTGCGAGAAATTCTAAAATCTTCAAAATGTCCTGCATATTACATTGTCGTAAAATTCATTCCGCAACTCATGGTACTGCTGAAAAACGGGGCACGGGGAAGCGCGGAGGTCGCTGATAATTGTGTGTGTCAAAATGGTACGCCATTTTCTATCCAAGCATTGCGGGAAGTGACCGTCTTTCTTGCAGGAGAACAGACGCGCATGTGCCGTTGTGCGCGTGCCGTTGTGCGCGTTCGCGTGCGCAAAATATTGTAAGGAAAATGGCTCGCTAAAACTCTAAATATAGCATCTTGTAATTATTTTCTAATTGCTGTGTTAATGCAAAAGGGTTGCTGCCGATTTTTTTGTTTTGTTTTCTTTTTAGTGAAGACAGTTACACTTACACTTGCGCAGGTCGGAAAAGAACGTAATGTTAAAATTTTGGGAAGGACCATGTTGATAAAAGTAAGCGTTGAGAGGAAACAATAACTGAAAAAAAATTTTACTGTTTCTTAGTTTCATTTGATGCACTGAGTGCTGGTACATTCGTTATTCATCTCTTCAACTTCGACACCTTTAATAGCATGTTTGGCATTTAAAATATATATCATTAGGAATGGAAGCTATTTGAGCTTAATTGCCGCAATGCAGTCAGCAGGTGCACAAACACTACAGGATAATAAATCTGTTAATAAAGCCTCGGTTCGTTGTGTGCGTGTTAAAAAATTTCCTCTCCCCCCCTTTTTGCACCGCCTGTCCAGCATTTCGCTAGCAGGAAGGTGGTCAGCCTATAGTACCGAAGTATTGATTGCCTAGGTTTCTCTCGGTGGGCTTCTTTTCGAGAGGGACCCCGGTACGTAAAAAATCTGCCGCGAAAAAAAGTTGGGGAAGAGAAGTGAGCTAAAGCAAAGAAGCCAATGTCTGCACGCTGAACCCGCACAGCGCGCTTGTTTGTCTCGAGTTCAGTCGTTGAACAAAGCGCTCCAAGAACTTTTTGACCCCGGCTCGCGATGACTTCCATCGTTGCGCTCAGGTTCTTTTTGTTGTGTGTGTGTGTGTGTGTGTGTGTGTGTGTGTGTGTGTGTGTGTGCGTGTGTGTGTGTTCAGCTTGTACCTTGCCTACCGACCTGGCAAGCACGTGCCGCTGGACTGTTTTTGTTGTATGCTGGACAGTTACATTTTGCATTCAATTTGAGGAACCAGTTGGCCACAAAGCGGAGTGGCATGGTTTCGGTTTCGATCAAACAGACGTCTCCGCTCGCGCAACGAAGCACGTGCAACTGCAAGCTGCCGAAGTTGCCCTCACGTGCATGCGAACATGATTGACGAACATCTGGCACGTCGGGAACCAGTAAAACGGTGGCAAGCGGTTTTTCGGAGTTGCTCTGCAGCGCCTATAGCACTGTACACTTGTGGGATGTCTGAATGTCGCTTCGGAGACATTGATAGTGAACATTCATTACCTGCCGAAGGCAAAGCGAGCTCACTCTAAAAAAAAAGGGTATCACCTTACACCCTTTTGTCCCATATAATACACCCCGAAACTTCATTTCGACGTACAGCGCCCTATAGTCGAACAGACGGCACCAAATTTTACCAGGGGCTTGATAACGGTGCGATTTAACTTATTAAATTGCTAAAGTACGTATTAAAGACCACTGAAAGAAAATACGGAGCTTTTGCAGTACGGCCAAGAAAACTCCGATAATATTTTTTGTATTCAATAATACGTACATCAGCTATCTTAACAAGTTGTACAACACGGCTATCAAGCCCCTCGTAAACTTTGGGGCCGCCTGTTCGATTATGGGGCGCTGTACGTCGACTTGAAGTTTTGGGGTGTATTATATGGGACAAGGGGTGTAATAATACACCTTTTTTTTCTGAGAGTGAGGCTTCCAGCAGCCTTGCAGAAAGTTTCGTAAAGCAAAAAGAAAAGCACCCGCTAGTCGTAATGCACCTTTCCTGTATACAGTTTTGCATAGCACTTCAATATTTACGTGTTTCATCAGTCGGAGACTGGTTCAATTTATTATATTATATAACTAGTCAACCTAATGCTGTGATGTTTACTACTAAGCTGGTCATGTTCAAATAAATTTTAATATGTGCAGTTTGGTTCTTATCTCTGTATAGCGGGTTTATATACATGTAAATTTAACTGAAGCATTGCAAAATGGGTCATGTCATCGGCATTCAGTTACATGTTGAAAGACTCCCAGGTGGTCTAACTTGACCATAATTTGTTTATTGTGGCGAGCAAAGTGCCCTTATTTGTGCAACAGTTAAAACGAATATTTTTATTTTTTCTAAGAATATCTGCTCCAATAACCACTTCTGCTGCTCTGAAGCACTGTTTCGGCTGCTCCAAAAGTCACGTTTACCGCTCCAAAACACTGTTTTGGCGGCTCTAAAGGCAACATTTGCTGCTCCAAAAGCGGCTTAGGCAAATCACATCACAGTAAAGTATATACGTAACTCGCGCTGGGGGAGGCGGAATGGTACACCCTTTTCAAAACCCCGTCAAGCAACATTGACGAGGGCCATTCATACCTGCACCGGCCGATATGGTTGTCTCTTTATACTTATGCTAGGTTGCGCAAGCTACCGCCCGTTTCCAAGGGTATAGCCATGAACACCCATTCATCCATCCATTGGGCGCGAAGCGCGCGATTGGATTCGAGTCCTGCCCGACCGCTGACGTAGCACACGTTTTCGTTTCGAGCTGTGTGGAATTGGTGCCGAACGCTCACACAGCCTATATCGTGTCCAATGCATGCTCAGATTAAGTGCCCAAGCAATGGCGGGCTCGGAGAACCTTCGTAGCAGCTATATACTAGACGGCGCACATTTTTGAAAACGGTACATTGAAGGACGTTCGTGCCGTTCCGGTCCCGTCACAAATTACGGCGTTTTACTCGCCGCGGTGAGCGCTTTTGACATCGTTTGCCGTTCTCTCGAAGCGGGTCTTCCCTTACCTTTTTTTTTCAGTTACATCTTAGCCGCGAGTATTTTATTTTTTTTCACTCTCATCTCTTTACGTTATATCTTGACATGGTACGGCGTCTGCTCTAGAGGAGAACGGGTCTAGTTGCTTAACATAGAGGTACCGGGACGCGGGTCACAGCGTGCGATTATGAAGATTCGCAAAGACTAAAAATCCCAATAAAAAATAAAGGAAAAAAAGCCCGTTTTTATTGCTGCTTTAAAACGGTAGGCAGCACACCACAGCAACACTTCAACTTGGTCTACCAACCAGGTAATAAGTAAGCCTGTCGGGTTGCCTACTTATTCGCGTGCTGTGCCTTACAGAAGGAGCAGGCACACCAGGTTCGTCAACGTCATGACTATTGAAATGGTTCTCAGGCTCCGAGTCCGAGTCATCTGAATCCGTGGATGCTGCCGGCTCACCGTGCTCCACCGGCGACCTTCGTTCAGCATCAAATCCATTTTGGGATCTTGGCCTCAGGTGATCAGAGTGTATAAAACGAATCCTACTGAAGACTCGCACCAAGTATGTAAGAGCACTGATTTTCTTCGTCACCTTTCCTCTTGCCCATCCCGTTTCCTCCCCTCTCACGTTTCGCACCCACACATTGTCTCCGACATTGAACTCCCTCGGCCCTGCCTGTTGGGTGTCAACGCTCTTCTTGGCTTCATTTTGCTTTTCTCGGCGAAAAGAAGCAGAACCGGGTTTCAACAAG